TAGCTATATAGGACATCTGGTGTCTCCCTAATCCTGGGACCTGCTCCAACCGGAAGTGGGAGAAAGGTTGTACAGACATTGGGGCGGCCTCAGCATGGAATCACAGGAGGTGGAGAGTGGTGAGTCAGGAGCTGGGGCTACAGACACCATGGTGGAAATCTAACATAAGAACCCAGACCTGGAACTCGCTAGAAAGAGTGGCACAAGTGACTGCAAACAAAGAGTTGTGTACCAACTGCAATAAGTAAAATCAAACTGCAGACCTGTGAGTGACACAGCTTAGAAACCTGCCCAAGGAGAAGAATATGCTAACCAGAAGTACAATGACCAAGAGCAAAAGAAGAGACACAGGCACAAGGAATATTACTGAAGACTCCCCTGCAAAGGAGCAAAACCCTTTGCCAATCTGAGTTAACTGAGGAATACATAGGAAAAAATGGGGGAACAGAATTCAAAATATTTGTTATAAAGCTTCTTATCAATAATAAGAAGCAAGTAACATAGGCATTCAAGGAATTTAAGGAATATGTTACATAGGAAAAGCAGCAATGAATCAAATGAAAGCTGATATATCAGAATTGAAGAAACAGTGGAGCAAACTAAAAGTACAGAAGAGAGTCTCCAAAATAGAATGAAGGAGCCAGAAGAAAGAATCTCAGTACTGGAAGATACTTCCTGTCACCAGGGAGAACTCAACAAAAAGCTTGAAGCAGAGCTGAGTCAATCTAAAAAAAAATGTTCAAGGATTGAAAGACACTATTAAAAGGCTGAATATCAGAGTTATGGGAGTCCCAGAAGGTACAGAAAGAGAAACTGGTTTTATAGATATATTTAATGAAATAATAAAGGAAAAATTTCCCTAATCTAGAGAAAGAATTGGGAAATAAGGTCCAGGAGAGTCACAGAACTCCCAAGCTCTCTTCAATCGAACAAAAGGAAAAGGTCCTTAAATGTGCACATGAAAAAAATCAAGTGACATATACAGGAATGCCAATGAAACTCACAGGAGAACTCTCAGGAAACTCTATGGGCCAAAAGAGAATGGAGTGACATGTTTCCAGATTCTAAAAGCAGAAAATTGTTGGTCCAGGATAAAGTACCCAGCAAAGCTTTCTTTTGTCTTTGAAAATGCAATAAAATTCTTCCACAGTAAAGAAAAGTTAAAAGAATTTGCCTCTTTCAAACCTGCTCTACAAATGATACTTCAAGATGGTCTCTTGACAGAGCAGAGGAATAGCACCCACAAAAACCAAAGGCTACTGTGAAAAACACCCCAGTAAAATGACAGCAGAAGACTAAATCAATGAACAACCCATTCCTACAATGACAAAACCAAATTACCACCCATAATTTCTAACCCTGAATGTAAATGGCTTAAACTTATCAACCAAACAGCATAGATTAGTAGATTGGATTAAAAAACAAAATCCTTGTATTTTTTGCCTAGAAGAGACACATTTCACCAACAAAAATCAGTGGAAAATATATTGCATGGATTGTTTTTGCTTTAGTTTCACCTCTTCAAAACACTTTATTCAATGACTCATAGATCATACAGTAGCATCATTTTCTGCAAGAAGGTTCTTGATTTTCAATTCTTCAGCAACACTTTAGTCATTCAGTAGCATGTTATTTAACTTCATGGTGTTGTTAATTTCTTTTTTCTTCCTGATGCTGATTTTCTGATTTTTCATTTAAGGGGATGTATAGTAACTGTGTAACAGAGACTGTCATATCTAGTGACATGTTATTTAACTTCATGGCATTGTAAATTTCTATTTTTCTTCCTATTGTTGATTTTGTATTATGACTTTTCATTTGAGGGGATGTACAGTAGCTGTGAAATGGAGACTAACATATTCAGATGTGAGGATACAATGTAGTATGCATTTCTACTTCCAGACAAAGATGGACTAACAATGCAAGTGTTTACTATATCTTGACAATAGGGTGCAGGACTCTCTGCCATTGTCCATGCCTGCAATGATGGACATATGACTGTGTATGAAGAACTATACTTTAGTAATGATATAGGGGAGCTAGGTGGGAGGGGAGGAGTTAAGTTTGGGAATAAAGGAAATACCAATGAGCCTCTTTAACTGATAGAAAATGAAATAAATGATAATAATAAATTTTAAAAGATTAAAAAAATAAATTTCCAATTCTAAAATTAAAAAAAAAGAGAATGTGCAGGCACCCAATACCAGAGCACATGACTTTTTAAAAAAAATAGTAATGAATATAAAAGTAGACATAAACTCTATACAATAGTAATGGAGAATTTTATGCCATACCATACCAATGGTATATCAACCAGACAAAGCAACAACAAAGAAAGAACAAACTTAATCTACACTATGATGCAATCAAATCTAACCAATAACTACAGAACATTTCATTCTGCAGTTCCAGAATACATTTTTTTTCATGAGTCCAGAGAATTTTCTATAGGGTACACCATATGCTAGTCATAAAGCAAACTTCAGCAAATTCTAAAATCTAAAATCATACCATGTATCTTTTCTTATCACAATGGAATGAAGCTGGAAATGAGTAACTTAAGAAATATTAGGAAATATACAAACACATGGAAATGAAGTGATCTTATACAAACTCATAAGAGAGTTCAGCAAAGTTACAGGATATAAAATTAACACAAATATCAAAAGTTTTCATATACACAAACAATTCCATGGGTGAGAAAGAGTTGGTAGTTTCAGTAGTCCTATTCACAACTTGAAAAAGTACAAATGTGTTGAAACAAACTTGAACAAGGATGTAAAAGATCTCAATGATGACACCACAAAACATTAAGGAAATAAATATAAGACGGAAAAACTGGAAAAAATCCTCCATGTTCTATTTGTGAATTGGAAAAATTAATATTAAAATATCCATACTACTGAAAGCAATCTACAGATTCAACGTGATTCCAATCAAAATACCAATTACATTCTTCTCAGATCTAGAAAGCACAATGCTAAAATTCATGTGGAGACACAAGAGACCCTCAAATAGCTAAGTAATCAACAATAAAAACAAAGCCGGAGGCATCACAATACCAAGACTTCAAGGCATAATCATATAACCAGGTACTAGCACAAAAGGAGACAGATAGACCAGTGGAACTGAATAGAAATCCACAGATTAATCCATACATCTATAACTAACAAATCTTTGACAAACAACCGAAATCAATTCCTGGATAAATGGAACCTCACTGTGGTTTTTATTTGTATTTTCAAATGTCCAGTGAGCCCAAGCATTTTTTTGATGTATATTGGCCATTTGTACTATATCCTTTGAAAATTGTTTGTTCATGTTCTTTGTCCATTTTATTAACTGTACTTCCCTACCCACTGCTCTGAATTTTTCTTTAATCACTGATTTGTTTCCTTCTGAATCTTTATCCTAATGCAACCATTCATCTGAACTCTGTTCTGTAAAGATTCTCAAAGGTTTTTGAGACCTATATATGATATAATGTAAAATAGTATAGTATAATATAATATAAAAATGATATATATAACACAACTGATACAACTCTTTGAATAATTCATTTTTGTTATTGAGTAGTATGCCACTGTTTGAACATAATCTGTTTGTAATTCATTTTTCTATTCAAATACATTTAAACTTCTAATTTTCTACTATTATTAAAAAGTAACTAAGAATAATTTTATATAAACCATTACAGACATTTGCTTTCATTTCTCTTGGACAAATACCCAATAGTAAAGTTGCTGGATCATGGGGTAACTGTATGAATGTTTATTTTACACTCTTAACAACAAAGTAGGAGAGTTCTGGTTGCTACACATCTTCGTCAACATTTGGCATTATCAGACTTTCTAATATTAGCTCTTCTGGTGGGTGTAAGTAATTTAAGCTTCTATTTTGGCAGATTTTCCAAGCTAGCAAAGAATACATATGTACAAGGATCAAGTTGGAAGGAAGTACTGGTTGAGAGAAATCGAGAGATTGATGTATATAATATTAGAAAAGTTCACTTATCCAAACTTAGCCCATGCAAGCTATAGCTTCAGAGAATAAATAATGGTACAAAAGGAGGGATGTGCAGCAAGCAGCTGCATTCAATTTTAGTTCATGATTCCCTCAACTACATCACAATATTAGACAAAGTTAATGCTGGGAAAACGGCAGCTTTGGTTGTATTTTGTTAAAAGCTAATATGGAGTGGATTATACATTCCCCCAATTTGCCTCATCATTTTAAAAGCCCCTTGAGGACCAACTCTCACAGTTGGTCTGGTCTAGCACACAAAATGGAACGCTGATTTGTCCAAGTAACTGAGAGGATCCCTCCTCCTCTCTCCCTCTTCCAATGCCAACCCTGGATCTGTAGGAAACGAATTAACATTTTTTGAACACCAACACTGTGCCAAGACTGGCTGTTCTGGAATACTGTTCTTTAGTCTTCACAATAATGCTTTTAAAAAATTAGGCATTGACAGCCTCACATTATAGGTAAAAAGTAAGAGTGTAGTACAGCAACTTAGGTGTGGTCACAAAGAAACAGAAGAACCATAATTTGAGCAGAAATCCAGTGCTCACTGCACTTCATCTTGCTAACACCAAGACAGCAAACTGCAATTGCTTATGCATTCAGCAGGTGCCAATGTAGGCAGCAAAAAGCACTGTATGTGTCTCCACCAAATATGACCCTTCTTTTCTTTTTTCCTATGATTCTGGCTTTCTGGTATACATGTATTATAAGGCAGGGCTGAAGACTTCCACCCCAAGCATTATCAGTCATCCAGAAGACACATTAATGAGCTTTTGCCCTCTTCTTTGTTGTTCCACTGTGCCTCAAGCCTGGTGTTTCTATCTTGCAGAAAGGAATCATTAGACTGTCTCCCCCTCAGTTTCTTAGAGCCCCAGTGACTCCTCGTGCTCATTGGTCCTGCCCCTTTTCACTGCCTTCTCTCAATGTGGGGAATAAAGCGACTGTTTGTAACATGCTTCTTCAGACTCAGTTACCTGTTCTTGAAAAACACTAGCTTGCTCCTCAAATCCAGCTGTCCGGAAATAATTGACGACATCCATCACAGCCCAATCTGCAGGATCAGGTGGTCTCCCATTCTCCACAGAACTGCAAAACACAAGTCCAGACCAAATTCATGTGTGCATCCACTGGAGTTAGTCCAAACTCATGACGTAGCCTCCCAGTTCACAAGCTGTCTCCCTTCAGGTGCCCAGATCTAAGCCCACTCCTTGCAGAATTAGACTGATTCTTCTATTTCTTGTGTTGTCATGATGATTACACACACTGGGTTAATTACTACTTCCCTTCCATTTATGTACTCTTTCACGTAACCTCCCATACTTTGTTTTCAAATCAAGACATTTAAAGTGGCCCAGTCATAAACTTAAGTTAAAAACACCAGGTCCTTTTCCAACATGACCCAAGTATCTTTTTCTTCTCTCCCACTACCTACCTCATCCCCAAACCTACATACATGGGTAAACACAATCTTCAAAAGTTCATGCTCTTTTACAAATCTATGCCTTGTATATTCTAACTCTGCCATTGACCATGCCCCCCTCAACTGCCTCTAGCACCAACAAAATCCTTCCATTCCAACCAGTTCAAAGGCTATCTCCTCTATGAAACAGTTCCTAGTTAAGATAGGAAAGTGTTTTTTATTATAATCTCTTCAGTTCAAGGTCCCATTGTGAGCTCCTGTGCATGGGATTATACTAATTATTGTATACTTTTTCCTACTGGAGTACAAAGTTTGGGCTAGAGGAATATATCTGAGCAAGATCACTTTTCATTTTAAAGTTTCTAGTGCTAAGCACATCATTAGGAACTCAATATAGTCCAAATGAATAAACAAACATGACAATGAAGCATTTGAAAGAGTTCAAGGGAGCACTCCTCATTAGATTCAGAGAGGAGAGTAGAAGAGGCAGAACAGAGAATGCCAATGACTTGCAGTTACTATGATTCTGCCTTATTTCCATGGTTCATGAATATTTGTCTAGATTCCTTTCCATTTCACATGGTGAATCTCTGACCTTGAGCATTTATATGATCACATGATTCCTCTACTTAAAATCTTTTGAAAGCTTCCTGTTGCCCTCACAATAAACTATAAGTAGTTTATGTGACTTAAGAAGTCCTTTGGAACAAAACTCGTTAGCTCTCCAGTTAGGAATAGCTTGGGCAGCTAAATAGATCTAGATCCTACTTTTATGGGCCTTACATTCCTGTGGCAGTGGACACTGATAAGGCAATATACAAATAAACATACAACCACAGGTCCTGTTAAATACTAGCAATGACAGTTATAATGCGTTTTGGCAGTTTAAGGGGAAAGAGAAACTTTTCTATGAAAATTTCATTTGAGGTAAGGCCTAAAAAACAGTCAGAAATTAGCCACATGAGGTCAGGTAAAGAATATTCCAGGTCATGCCAAGTTTCCAATACAATTAGGGTTTTGCTAAGAGCAATTCAAAGTTATCAAAAGGTCTTATGTAGAAAGGGTGACCTGATCAAATTCATATTTTTAAAGGATAGTATTACAGAGGAGCTGAGGGAAAAGAAACACCAAATGAGAAGCCTGCTAAAGTCATTCAAGTAGGAGACCATGATAACTCAGACTCAAAGTAATGCTATGGAAAAGCAGAGAGCATGTTGATTTAAAGTAAGTTTAACAAAATCAGCATGACTAGTGCTGCTAGATATACAGGGGATGGGAGTATAATGGGAACCCAATGGCTGGTGGAAACATCACTGACATGCACTCTCAGGTTTAGCTGGATATGTTAAAGCTGGGGCACCATTTATATCCGAGGGGAGACTTAGTGTGGGATTTCAATCTGGAACTCATGCAGGAGGAGTGCACAACTAACACAGTAAACATTGTTTTGGTCCAATAGACAGCTCACCAGAGCACCTAAACTATACAGCATGTTATCCACCTCTGAGGAACTAGTTAATCAGGGCAATTATAGGCTTAGAGAGGTTGAAAAATTCACTAGAGATTATATAGCAGATAAAATAAGAATTGGATTCCCAATAGAATTGACTCAAAATCTATACTTTTCCCTCTATACTCACTGATTCAACAGCTATTTACTGAGATTCCAAGATCTCAAAACTGTGCTACACACTGGGTTATGAAGACCACCCTTAAGAGACTGGCAAGCTGGGGGAGGGAAAGTAGACTAATAACTAACACAACCTAAAGCAAGAACTGAGGGGTAAACAAACTACCACTGAGCACACATATAATGGAATGCCTATCCAGTTTTGTCTGACTTGGACTCATGAAGATTTTTGATGACAAGTTTTATGGGCCTTTGTTTCTCAAACCATACTCTATTAAACTGGGGCCTGATGGGGAGACACCTTGAAGAGGCACACATCATCACTCCTGGGCTGATGCTAAAGCATGATGGGTAATTTCACTGGGCCCTTCCAGCTATCTCAGTAAGTTTTAAGAAGAGAGCGGAAGATTATGCAAAAAACACAAAGAGCCAGGATGAGTGTCAGGGCACAGTTGGGGAAGAAACCAAGGCCAAGTATTTGCTGACAACGGGAATTTTAGAGGATAGATTTCAGCGATATCATTCCTTGTTGGGAAATGATACATCTCCTCAAGGACTGGTACTTGTGGCCAAATGAGCACTTAACATTATTCCTTTCTAAATAGACTATTCTCTCTACTTATTTTCCAAGAGGAATATAAGTGACAGTTTGAAATACTTCTCAGATGGTGTTTGACTAAAGCTGTCAATTTTATACTGGTGAAATGAGATGGTAGATATAAAAGTGCCATCACCATTTAAAATTATCCACTACCATCATAGCAAAATGTTTTTATAACAGAATAAATATATAAATATATGTACATGGACATATAATACTTATCTAAGCATAAAAGCTCCTATGCATGCATATTGCAAAATACTAACAAGAAATGAAGAAGAGAAACCTTTTTTTCAATCTCTTACTAGAATAAAATCAATGTTTCCATTTAACCCAGTCACTTCACAACCCTTGTAGAAATGGTTAGATACATCATGCATTAATAACAATTACATAACAGACTGATAATACGCACTAAGATATGGTCATCACTTGATTAAACAATCTACTCAGTTTTAAACAGGTCTAAAGAGATAATCAGAAGGAGAGAAATTAAATAAATTTGTTATAAACAGCTTGAGATATTATTAAGAACATCGTAATTTCCAAAGTGCTGGCAACAAAAGTCATCATTTCCTTTATAGTATACAAAGTCATGTAGAAAATTAGTTTTTCACATGCTTTGTCTAAACCTAGCACAGGTATAATTTGTGGTACTTAAGATCTTATAATCCTAAGAGATGGTTAAGTTCAATGGGTAGTTTGAATAAAATTTAGGTATGATTTCATAACTATTACATAACATTACATTCATTACATAACATCACATTCATTGATTGATGATTTATTTTATGATGATATGTTATGTTAAACCTTTTTGAAATATTTGTTATGTCAGTTACTTTTACGCTCAGAAATGCATTCTTTTCACTGCCTGGATTTCTAACTAATTTTTAAAATTAGATTAGCTACAACTTTGTCCATGTTTTTCTTAAAATTTATTTATTTATATTGGAAAGTCAGATATATAGGGAGGAGCAGAGACAGAGTGGAAAATGTTCTGTCCGCTGATGCACTTACCAAGTGACCACAATGGCTGGAGCTGTGCCAATCTGAAACCAGGAGCTAGGAGCCTCTTCAGGTTCTCCCACATAGGTGCAAAGTCCAAGGCTTTGGGCCATCCTTAAGTGCTTTCCCAGGCCACAAGCAGGGAGCTGGATGGGAAGCGGGGCCACTGGGATTAGAAGTGGTGCTTCTAAGCAAGATGGTGGAATAGAGTAAGGATATATTTAAACTGACAGAAAAGGGGCCGGTGGCGTGACCTAGCAGCTAAAGTCCTCATCTTGAACATGCTGGGATAGCATATAAGTGCCGGTTCTAATCCTGGCAGCTCCACTTCCCATCCAGCTCCCTGCTTGTAGCCTGGGAAAGCAGTCGAGAATGGCCCAAAGCTTTGGGACCCTGCACCCTCGTGGGATACCCAGAAGAGGTTCCTGGTCCTGGTTCCGGATCGGCGCAGCACCAGCTGTTGTGATCACTTGGGGAGTGAATCATCAGACAGTAGATCTTCCTCTCTGTCTGTCTCCTCTTGGTATATCTGACTTTATAATAAAAATAAATAAATCTTAAAAAAAAAAGCACGGAAAAACATTTAATCAGGATGAAGCAGAGAGGACACATTCCAAGAGGTGAGAGAGGACAGAACAACAGCAAAGGGGTACCTGGAGACTGACAGACACAGGAAAGCAGTGGACACAACGGTGTGGTGTTGCAGTGACTAATATTCCAGTGGCATTCAGGTAACGGTGATCTGAACTGCACCAGCAGCTGGAACTCCACCAGCAACCAGGTAGGAAACGACTTTCACTGGAAGCTTGGGAGGGGAACCCAGACAAAGAACTGTCCATCCTGCGTGTCCGTTTGGTTTGACCAGGAGTAGAGACAGAGGACCACATTCCAGATGGGCAGTGCGAGGACAGGGTGGAATTCACAGCCCAGTCTGCCCCCTAGAGCCGAATTGGGTACCATTTTGCCTAAGGAGGCAAAGGCAAGAGAAAGGACTGAGCATATGCTGAGCAGGGTGTGAACTCATTTCTGACTCAGTAACTGCAGCAACATGGCATTCTACAGTTTCCACACAATCAGGTTTGGATAGCCCTCAGACCTGACTGCCAGCAGATGAAGTACTCTAGCGGTGGCACATCTGGCGCCATTTTGTAAACTGTGGCAATAGCTTTAGGGGGACTACAGTGGACAATAGTGAATGGTGCATGTTCTGGGCTCAGGAGAAATCACTGAGTTTTGTGGACTGCACTGGTCCCACAGGGAAAATAATACCAACTATAACATTGTATGAGTCAAAACAGGTCCGTATGGTACCCAGACTTAACAGGTCAACAGGTTCCAGCAAGATAAACACCAACAACAACCTAGCTATATAGGACAACTGGTGTCTCCCTAATCCTGGGACCTGCTCCAACCAGAAGTGGGAGAAA